CCACACACACACTCATACCCACACACACTCACACTCTGTAGAACATGCACACACACTCCACACACACACACACTCATACCCACACACACTCACACTCTGTAGAACATGCACACACACTCCACACACACACTCATACCCACACACACTCACACTCTGTAGAACATGCACACACACTCCACACACACACACACTCATACCCACACACACTCACACTCTGTAAAACATGCACACACACTCCACGTACACACACACACTCATACCCACACACACTCACACTCTGTAGAACATGCACACACACTCCACACACACACACTCATACCCACACACACTCACACTCTGTAGAACATGCACACACACTCCACACACACACTCATACCCACACACACTCACACTCTGTAGAACATGCACACACACTCCACACACACACACACTCATACCCACACACACACACTCTGTAGAACATGCACACACACTCCACACACACACACACACTCATACCCACACACACTCACACTCTGTAGAACATGCACACACACTCCACACACACACACACTCATACTCACACACACTCTGTAGAACATGCACACACACTCACACTCTGTAGAACATGCACACACACACTCCACGTGTACACACACACACTCATACCAACACACTCACTCACACGCTGTAGAACATATACACACACTCCTCGTACACACACACACTCATACCCACACACACTCACACTCTGTAGAACATGTACACACACTCCACGTACACATACACACTCATACACACACTCACTCACAATCTGTAGAACATGCACACACACTACACGTACACACACACACTCACTCACACTGTGCAGAAAATTCACACACACTCCTCGTACACATACACACTCATACCCACACACACTCACACTCTGTAGAACATGTACACACACTCCACGTACACACACACACATTCATACCCACACACACTCACACTCTGTAGAACATGCACACACACTCCACGTACACACACACACTCATACCCACACACACTCACACTCTGTAGAACATGCACACACACTCCACACACACACTCATACCCACACACACTCACACTCTGTAGAACATGCACACACACTCCACACACACACACACTCATACCCACACACACTCACACTCTGTAGAACATGCACACACACTCCACACACACACACACTCATACTCACACACACTCTGTAGAACATGCACACACACTCACACTCTGTAGAACATGCACACACACACTCCACGTGTACACACACACACTCATACCCACACACACTCACACTCTGTAGAACATGCACACACACTCCACACACACACACACTCATACCCACACACACTCACACTCTGTAGAACATGCACACACACTCCACACACACACACACACACACTCATACCCACACACACTCACACTCTGTAAAACATGCACACACACTCCACGTACACACACACACTCATACCCACACACATTCACACTCTGTAGAACATGCACACACACTCCACACACACACCTCATACCCACACACACTCACACTCTGTAGAACATGCACACACACTCCACACACACTCATACCCACACACACTCACACTCTGTAGAACATGCACACACACTCCACACACACACACTCATACCCACACACACTCACACTCTGTAGAACATGCACACACACTCCACACACACACACACACTCATACCCACACACACTCACACTCTGTAGAACATGCACACACACTCCACACACACACACACTCATACTCACACACACTCTGTAGAACATGCACACACACTCACACTCTGTAGAACATGCACACACACACTCCACCTGTACACACACACACTCATACCAACACACTCACTCACACGCTGTAGAACATATACACACACTCCTCGTACACACACACACTCATACCCACACACACTCACACTCTGTAGAACATGTACACACACTCCACGTACACATACACACTCATACACACACTCACTCACAATCTGTAGAACATGCACACACACTACACGTACACACACACACTCACTCACACTGTGCAGAACATGCACACACACTCCTCGTACACATACACACTCATACCCACACACACTCACACTCTGTAGAACATGTACACACACTCCACGTACACACACACACATTCATACCCACACACACTCACACTCTGTAGAACATGCACACACACTCCACGTACACACACACACTCATACCCACACACACTCACACTCTGTAGAACATGCACACACACTCCACACACACACTCATACCCACACACACTCACACTCTGTAGAACATGCACACACACTCCACACACACACACACTCATACCCACACACACTCACACTCTGTAGAACATGCACACACACTCCACACACACACACACACACTCATACCCACACACACTCACACTCTGTAGAACATGCACACACACTCCACACACACACACACTCATACTCACACACACTCTGTAGAACATGCACACACACTCACACTCTGTAGAACATGCACACACACACTCCACGTGTACACACACACACTCATACCCACACACTCACTCACACGCTGTAGAACATATACACACACTCCTCGTACACACACACACTCATACCCACACACACTCACACTCTGTAGAACATGTACACACACTACACGTACACACACACACTCATACCCACACACACTGACACTCTGTAGAACATGTACACACACTCCACACACCCACACTCATACCCACACACACTCACACTCTGTAGAACATGCACACACACTACACGTACACACACACACTCATACCCACACACTCACTCACACTCTGTAGAACATGTACACACACTCCACGTACACACACACACTCATACCCACACACACTCACACTCTGTAGAACATGTACACACACTCCACGTACACACACACACTCATACCCACACACTCACTCACACTCTGTAGAACATGCACACACACGCCACGTACACACACACTCATACCCACACACACTCACACTCTGTATAACAGGGGGAGAACATGTACACACACTCCACGTACACACACACACACTATCACACTCTGCAGAACAGGTAGGAGAGAGAGAACGCACAAACTCTGCTCACTCACACTCACCACAGACTCACTCGCAGACACTGTCACTCACTCACACCCCGCAGAACAGGGGCAGAGAGACAGAAACTCCACACACACAGAGACAGAGAAACGCCCGTGTCTGGAATCGAACCCAGACCCCCCCTCCCCACCTCTCCTTCTCGGGCACGATTTGCTACAACAGCAGCATCCATTCCTCCCTCTCGATCCGAATGATTTACGCGCGTGCTTAGCGCCCTTCAGACGAAACGATAAACACTGCGGCGGGGATAAGAAAAAAAACGCGACTCCCCAAATAACACCGTCCGTGTCTCGCGAGCCGTCGCTTAATCACAACATTCGGAATATCAAACTGCGTTTGGCGGGGGAGCGTGCATAATTTTTTAATGCCGCCTAAAAATAGCTGGAGAGGGCTCCAGCAATAACCGGCCCTGCAAATAGAAGCGCTCCACATTAAAATCTCATCTCCGCGATGAATTACACCATGGCTCACGGCTTTTAAGGAATTAAAACA